CCAAGCAGAGAGGATTCAAATCTGGAGTCAGGCTGCCTGGTTTCAAATTCTGGCTCTGCCATTTACTAGCTCGATAACTTTGAGTAGTCTTTCAGTCTAAGTTTCTCCTTCTCTCGGCCTCAATTTCTTTATCTGTAATGGAGGATAATAACTGCATAACCTTAAATCATAGATTAAATGAGATGCCAATATAAATCATTTGAAACCATACACAGAATGGTTCATGCATTCATATGTAGAATGTGTTCAGTAAACATCACTATTTATTTTCATTGTATTACACAGATTGGCCCAAGAACACAAGTTTTCAAATATGAAGTCAAACTTTTAAAAGCTGAATCGGTTTGCCTTGATGTGGCTTAAATTATAAGAAGAGCTTTCTATTATCTCCAGACAGAAAGACCAAAGAAAGTTTCCTCTCTCACTCTCCCCAGATAGCCGAATAGTGAATCCAACACCTAACAGACCTGGTTGATTACTCACATAAGAGAAAAACGTATTTATATCTTTACTGCTATCTGTTCTTACCTTTAAATGGTACTGACCTATTTGCTCTGTCTACACAGAATTCTATTATAACCTCAGAGAATTTCCTGACAGCAATGAGAGTATGTTTAGGCTATTTTACAAAGCTACTGCAAGCTCCTCTGTGGGGGGAAAGCAGTCTGCAATGTTCTCTATTTTGAAGAAGAAAAGTCATTGGTATTCTGTAAAGCAGCAGGATGGTATTGTTGGAGTTACTGTGCTAGGCAATATTTTCATAGCCATCATTTAAGGCTGGCTGACTCATAAGTAATGGCACAGTTAGGAGGACTGCTTATTACTTTAAGTCAAGCCGTGTCACCTAGGATTCTTGCCTTTGTCCTGTTGCTTATCAACTGTTAAACTAATTTCAACTTTTTGCACTGTAACCTGTTTAACTACCTGGAAATTAACTTGAAACCTAATTTGGGACCTTGAAACATACCATTCCTAGAAAAACTTAAGAAAAATACTACAATCTTGCTACTACTCAAACTGCTCTTCACATACCAGCAATCAGCATCTCCTGGGAGTTGTTAGAAATGCAGACTGTCAGGTCCCATCCCAGATCTCTGATTCAGAAACCGCATTTTAACATTTTAAGATTCCAGAGTGACTCAGGTAAACATTATAGACTGAGAAACGCTGGTGCAGAGAAATGGGATGGAGAAACGAGATGAAAGGTAGTTAGTGTTTTTGTATCATCAAGATGATGTAAATTATATACAATTGAAGTGTGTTCTAGAAACTTCTGAAATTCCCAAAAACATAGTAATTTAAATGGTAATTGGCTACTTAATTTTTTTTTCTTTTTTGACACTGCTTGTATAACAGGTTCATTTTGTTTGCTGTTAATTGTAATAAATTGTAATGCCTCTAAGAGGATTCACTGTTGGTATCCATCCTTGCATGCAGAAAGGAAAGAAACTGGTAGTTATCTGTTACTGGGTCCACCTTAGTTTCAGTCCCACTTTGAATAAAGACTCAATGTGTAGAGTCTTTTGGATGTGGCAACTTGACCATTATTTCTTTAGAGCAGGGACAGAAAGGTCTGTGTTTAGAACTCCTCCTTCATGATCAAGTATCTGCCTCTTAAATAAGAAGGAACAGATCTGTTGGAATATGAAATACAAGAGTTCAACCACTTGTTCCCCAATCTGCTATTCTAAGCACAGACTTGCTTACTACTAACTGTGTTTTACTAGGCTTATGTTAGCAGATGTCAATTGTTACTTTAAGGCAATTTCTGGTGCCTATTGTCTCCTTTTGCTCTGTTTCCTAGTCATCTTTATTCAATCTAGAGTATATGTATGCATGTGTGTATGTATGGCTTGGCAGATCTTATTAAGAGAGAAGATTTGAAGCGCTTAATATACAATAATGGAAATTGTTGTAATTCATTCAGAAAATGAAAAAAACATGCAGTTACTATCACACGTACACTGTATCACATGATGCCAGAAGAAAAATCCTCCCTAATTTAATGAATAATATTATTTCCTGAAAAAAAAATCTGGCTTCCTAATTTATTCTGTATCAGAATTATTCTTCAGAGGTTTTGCATTTACTGTTCAGAATAAAAATGTGTTGGTTGTAGAGATACTTGACTGAAAAGCGCACACTCCCTCTCTCTCCCTCTCTCCCCCTCTCTTTTTTCCCCCACAATTTGGAAAAACATTTTCTATTCTAAAGGACATGAATCAGAAAGTAATCTTGATGTGATGTTAGACTTTAAAACAGGCAACGTTATAAATCAATATGAAATTATATTTCACTTAAGGTAGCACAGGGATAGAACAAAAATCAGCAGAACCTAGTTTTCAAATCCATTAATGTAATATACAATTACCATGTCATGGAATGGGTTGATAATAATGATAATGAAAAAATATATCAAAAAGGCAATGTTTTAGTAATGAAATTTAGCCTGAATTTTCTTTAAAACTATTTCTATTATACTTTTTGTCCATTATTATTATTTGATAATATTGCTAAAATTTTCTTATTAAATAACTTCAAAAGCTACTATCAGGCTACTAAAACATACACAATATAAAATAATGAACCATATTCCCCCATAGACATTTCAACCCTACTTACATTATCTGAAAATCAAAGCATATTTTAAAAATTCTCTTAACTAGTGCTAATCATTCAGATTGAATCCTTGATCCTAAAATCCCTTTGTTTCCATTAGTCCTGGAATTAACTCCAATCTATTTATTTCAATATTTTGTTGAAGATAAGAGAAGATTACAATAAAGCTTAGTTCTTATTAGTACCCTTGATTAAAAGGAGAAACAAGGAAATAAGGAAATCAATACTTAGTATTTTTTCAATGTTCAGTGATTTATATTTTTACTTCTTGTCTCTATTAACATTGTGGAAAAGTAATGGGTATTTTATTTTATTTTTTTAGTAATGGGTATTTTAGAAGAATCTACTTTCAAAAGTTTATCTGTTGCATGAATATTGTAAAAAAAAAATCAAGTAGATGCACATGTGGTGCAGTGTATAAATAGGCTGTATCATTCTATCATTGAGTCACTTCCAGTGACATTGCAATTAAATGTAATGTTTTCTCCCTAACATTCTGTATGAATTCAGTTGAACAATTGGTTCTACAGAGCTTTTTGTTGGGGAGGTTGTTTTGGCTAATTAAATTTCCAATTAAATTCAGTTGGTTGGTTTTTTTTTTTTTTTTTTTAGAAATTTGAGGTGTTTGTAAATATAGTCAATGTAACTGTATATATGTTACATATAAATATTTAAATTCTGAAAAACACAGTACCTTATAAAGCTCAACCACTGGCAAAGATACTGTTTACCTTTTGAACTTTCTGAATTTCCTATTTTATAAATTACCTATGTGGATATTTACAAGGTGGTAAAATAAATTATCGAAAAGGAAAATGTTATCGTATATCTGCATGTTACAAACAACTTGTTAAATTCATTCATTGCCTAAGGTATACAGTTGCAATGGCACAGACTGGGCATGATTCACATATTCATATCTTCATACAGTCCACAGGGTTTGTAAAAAGCTTATTTTTTGGTTGTTGTACATATATAAACAAAACATCATAAATAAATCCATCTGTTCAAAATCCTTGCCAAGTCAGAAAATATTCATTGTGCATTAATTTTTTAAAAATGTTTTAAATAAACTATTCAAAGCGGGGAAGTTAAAACTGTAATATGCAAAAATTTGATAGCCATCCTTTTTTATTCTAATCCTATTTAATAGAATACAAACATATTTATTTCTTCCCTGACCTAATAAAAAAGAAAAAAATCTTAGGCCTTAGCATGTTAAAATAAAACCACACAGTAGTAATGTAATGAAAAGAGAATTCAATAGCCTTTAGTTACAGAGGGCTAAAAATCCCAAAAGGTTTTAGTCTTTAGAATATTCAGGCTGTCTAAATTTCTGCTGCCACAACATTTTTTTCAAAAGTGGAATAAAAATGGCCTTTTGCTCACGCAGATCTACCTATTCCCTGGGTGGTTGATTCTAGAAAAGCAACAGGCTCTTCCCCCGCCTTACAAGAAGCAACAGTTAGAAACTCTTAACAACTAGAAAACTGCTACCCACAGTGGTTGGAAACAGCCAATAAAGTGATAACTGTGATTGCAATTCATTTGCAACAGTTTCAGAAAAGGAGCAGAAAAAAGGGAAATAAAAGAACATGAAACCCTCTGAATTCAAAGTATTTCGCTGATACTATCGCCCACTCTCTTCCATTGTGCCTTTTGTCAGGCTTTTTTCCGGCATGCTTAGGTTTCTAAGGTAAAGAGAAGCAATAACCTGGCCCACCCTGTTTCAGTGCAAATTTACGATATGCAACAAGACAAATTCATCACACTGGAAGTACAGCAGTCTCCCCAGAAGCAGGCTCGAGCACGTACAACAAGCAAGGACTGTTGTCTCAGCCTGTTGCTCCTGCAGCGCACTGGAGCCTGGAAGAGGGTGGGACTTGGGGGGGGGGCACTGAAACCTTGTCTGTGAGCTGGGGTGCTTGGTGCCTGGGGTGACAAGAAGGGCTGGGTCGGACAGTCCTGCCTGCGGTCTGCAGGGACTGCACCTGGCGGGCCTGCCGGCTCCAGGGACCCCGGTGCAGCCCGCCCGGCAGCCGGCAGAGGGTGCCCTCGCCAACGAAACCCCAAAGGAAACCTGCGAAAGTAACCCTCAGACTCCGCCCCAACCCATCCGCCGCCGGCGCCACAGCCACCCGTTCTTTCCCAAATAGTGCCCAGCACGTTTCCTCCGGAGCGCCGCAGCAGCCCGCGCGCGCGCGTGTGGAAAATCCAAACCAGGGGCCACAGGGCGCTTCTGCGGAGCGCAGAGCGCGCGCGGAGTTGGACTCGGCGGGGCCGGGGCGAGGTGACAGCCAATGAAACGCACAGGGCGCGGGGACCCGTCCGTGTCGCATCTGCGTGAGCCCGGCCACCGGGCCGGCCGGGAGGCCACTCACCATGTTCACTTCGGAGACCATGTCGATGCTGGCGACATCGATCCTCATCCCGACGTCCACTGGGGGCCCTGCCAGGGAGGGGGGCACAATACGGGCATGTTCTTAGAGTGGGGACCTCCTGGGGAGCGGGCAGAAGGGGGCTTCCCTGCGTTCACTACCCTCTGGATGGGCTCCCTCCACCCACCCCTCTCCTTCCCCTGCAGGGGACAGCCTGGGAAAACAGGTGTGAGGGCACGCGTGATGCAGTGACTCTGCGGAGGGTGTGTCGGGCAGGGCCGGGGGAAGCTTAGCTCAGCTGGGGTTTCAAACCCTGTGACTGGGGTCCGGAGTGTTGTGTGTGTGTGTGTGTGTGTGTGTGTGTGCGCGCGCGCACGCGTGTGCATGTGTGTGTGTGTGTGTGTCCAGGACGTAGGGCGCAGTGCACTTAGGAAAATGACATGCTTAAAAAAAATTTGCATTTACGTTCGACTGCAAAGAAGAACTAGATGAGGGTTACAGGTTGAAAAAGGCGAAACATTACCTCCAAAGTCCGGCCGCAAGCGAATGTCATATCCTTTGAGCAATCTGTCCACTGTGTCTTTCACGTATGACATGTTGCTGGGCTCATTGGCGCTGAAGGGAGGAAGTAGGGACCGTATTCAGATTGAGCACAAACTGCGAGCAGACATCAAAATAGACAGGCACACCTACCCCCCGAATGACAAGCTACATGATCCAGCACAAGCATGTTAAAAAACAAACAAACAAACAAACAAACAAACAAAAGCAAAAACCACCAAGAAAAGAGACATCCACAACAGCAGCTCACCTGTGTGCACAACAGACCATGGCAATCATCACAGGGAAAGAGAGAAGCCCCAAACTCTCTCGATTTTGTACTGTCCACATTACTAACTCTGATTAAAGAATTGTCTTTTCTGTGAAGATTCAAGGAATGCAACTTAGTCCGCGGCAGGGCAGAAATTCCCGAAAGGACCTGCGCATGCGCAGGGGGTGCTCACTACCGACAGACACCTTGTGCTTTGCAAACAATATTCCTAGTGGAACAGGCAACAGATTTCAATCCCTTTAAAGTTCCTGTTTGTGGTGCTCCGCATCCTCTGGGTGCTCTGAGATACCGTATTGTCTCCTTGGGGCTCCTACCTGCGCGTGCTTAGGAGCTTTCTTCTTGGTTTAGAGGCTGCTCTGTTCATTTCCTTTTCTACCCTCAACCTGATTTTCTTTTCTTTTTTTTTTTTTCAACAAAACAAAACAAAAAACAACTCAACTCCCAGGCATCTGGCTAAGGCTGCCTGTGTGTGATTGGCATATTTCGTTGACAGTCTCCGTGGTACTAGTCTGGGAGCCTGGAGGCGGGGCGGGTCTCTGCCAGCTCCTGCGTGTTTGTGCAACGCAGAATGGGGCGGGTGGTCGCAGAATGGGGAGGGGGTGTTTCGGGGAGACCCAGGGAAGGCAAGCGGCAGAAGAATTTCAGGACTTATTTGAAGACTCCAAGAATCAGGTTCCCTGGAAGACGCTTTAGGGCATCTGATTTAATGTGGTGATTCTCTGTGGAAGGAGGTGGAGGAGTGGCTGGCGAGTCAACTTTTAAATTCACTCCCCTTCTTTATTTCCCTTCCCCTTCCTGTCTCTCAGAAAGGAGAGGAGGGAAGGAAGCAAATCTTGAGACAGCATCTCTGAGGGAGTAATTCATTTTCTAGAGCTATCCGGAGTAAGTTCCACTTTCCTTCTAGATTCTAGTAAGGAAATCTCTTTTTTTAAGTTGCCAATTTATTAGCTCATATTAGTGACCCAGAAAAGGACCCCCAAACACCCAGTTTCTAACCTCTGTTGCCGACTAGGTTGGGGTTTTGTGGGCACAAGTGTTACTTGAATTAAAAGCAGACAGTGTAATTCGATAAATGTGATTGAGAGCATGGGGGTGCTCAGAGTGGGATAGGTGTTTATTTGTTTAATAGTATATATTAAATCTTTACTATATTCTAGGAATTCTGGGGCTTAGCCGTGACTTAACGAGTTTTCCACCTTTACTGGAGTTCATGTGCTAGTTGTGAGGAGGGACTCAAATATGTAGGAAAGTCAGCTTATCTCTAGCTTGTATAGTGACAGAAGAGTTGCTGATTCTAACAGGGAGAAGTAGAAATGGTTTCCAGAGGAGAAGGTTTATTTTTTGTTTGTTTTAGTTTGTTTTGTTTTTGCTAGAATAGAAAGAGAGAGTCATCTCAGGAGAATGCACCAAAGCCTGGAGACTTGAAAGAATATAGTCTGTATGGATATTTGAGTCCACAAAAGACTGAGCAGCATATAAAAGGAGGGAAGGAGGGATATGGGTGATGCAGGTGCAAAGGGAAGTTGAGGCCAAAGTAAAAAAAAAAAAAAGTTAAGTCTACTTTGCAGATTTGGCCTTCTAGAAATCAGTAAACATTTCAAGGAGGGATCACAGGGTCAGAGTTAGATTTTAGAATGTTCTGGTAGACTAATCATGATGAGAACTATTAACATTTATTTCTTGATGACTACTGGTTATTCCATACATTATGCAGTTTTTCAAATTTAAACCCTGTAACAACCCAAATGTGGTATATAGTATTGTTAGTCGCAAAATCTAGAAGGCGCTACTCAGAGCAAATTAAGGTAATATAGCCAGTTTAAAACCAAACAAATAGTAGGTGGTAGAATCAGTTTTTAAACACAGAATCTATGGATTATTCCAGGAGGAGGAAATGGAAACATGAAAAACAAGAAGGAAGAATGGTTATTACAATAACCAAGCAAAGAATTAAAGTCAAATAGTATTTAGCCTGGAAGGAAGTGGTAGGCAAGAACAAGGTTTCAGAAGTATACAGCAGACATCAAATAATTGAAAGGGTCAGAATTTGGAGACTTTTATAAACTGCTTTAAGAACTGTACAAACATTTACAGCTGTCTAGAACTTGATATTCTACATATACCTCAGTTCAACTTCACAACAACCACAAACACCATTCCCATTTTCTGTGATAGATACCATACTAAAAATTGGTGATGCAACAAGAAAAATGAATCCCTTTCTACATGGAACTTGTCAATTGATCCATCATAACAGTTTTCATATTGTCAGCTTTATTTGCCAAATCCAATTCATAAAAGAAGTATATAATATGGTATGGACTGTGTTTGTACAATTTATGTAGCTTTTATTGGGATATATGTCTTCTAGTTGGTCATAAGCCCCAATAATTCTTTTTTTTTAAATCACAGCCAGAATTTTACTTATCAGTATTTGCTAAGACACCAAGGTTTTATCCTAGAATTAAGGAAGAGTCTCAGTGATTTTGTATATTTGAGTTCAAACTTCAGCATGCCCTTGTTTGTATCAATTTCCACTGAACTATTTTTTTTTAATTATGCCTTCCACTTACATGGAAGGACACAAGAAAAAGACACAAGACATTCATTATCACATCTATTATTTGGATACCATTAAGGATATAGCCCACTGTATCACTCAGCATCTTAGGTATGAGGAGTTATAGCTAAAAAAATTTTCTCAGAAACTAGTATTCTGGGGCCTCCCCGGTGGCACAGCAGGTTGAGCGCCAGAATACTGTGAAGCTGTCCACTGCCTCTGCAGCACGGGTTCGATTCCCGGCCAGCCAGGGAGAAACCCACAGGGCGTGTCAGACCTCTCCTGCCTCGCCTGCTGCTCCCCTTAGCAGTGTCTTTGGTGCATCTGTCTGTTCTGCTCCCTGCTCTGTCTCTGGTGAATTCTCTCACCCTCCTCCACCTCTGACCGGTACCCCAGTTCTTGTATAAATGAATAAATTTTTAAAAAGAAAAAGAAAAAAAGTAACTAGTATTCTGAAACTTGTTTCATTTCCTCAATAGTTTGTGTCTTATGGGCAACAGGAATCCTAAAATTCATTAATTTCCTTCTTTAATTTTGCCATTGGGAATCTCAGAATTAAAGATACAGTTCAGCTTTAATTGTTATGTAAAACCTTAAGGAAATGCATTTTGATATAAATTATCCTCTATCATGCTTTCCTAATTTAAAAAGATATGTTGCACTGAAAAATATATATTCAGTTATATATATCTATATATAAACTATACATATACACGTATAGTTTGTAGACTGTCTTGAATAAGTTTTGGAACTAATGAGAAGTACATTCAAAACAATAAAACAACAAATAATTTAAACTTCAGAAAAGTTGTAAGCTCCAGACACATTGCAGGGTAATTTTATGGTTTGAAAAAGTCAATCCTTATTTCCTCTGTGAAGTTTCTTGTTTCATCCCCAAACCAATCACCTTAATTAAGGCTTTCTCCCCTTCAAAGATCAGCCCAATTTTCACCTTTTGTTAAAATTACCTGAGAGCCACTGGTCACCCCTACTCCCATTAGCTACAAGTAACATAACTCTCAAGAGGAAAAGAGAGGAATCTATGTATTAGTATCCATTTGAGTTGGGAATATTTCATGGTTAAGAAATTTCATACATATTCTTAGGTGAATATGCTTATTATCAAGAATATAGAATAAGCAGCTTAAAATTGCCATTTGATTTGCTATCAAACTTTAAAATGATAGCTCCATTTTCTTTTCTTTTTTTTAAAGATTTATTTATTTATGCGTACAAGAACTGGGGTACAGGCCAGAGGTGTGGAGGGTGAGAGGATACACCAGAGAGAGAGTGGGGAACAGAACAAGCTTGGATTAACTGAAGTACACTGCTGAGGGGAGCAGTCAGGAGAGGTCTGCTGTGCCAGGTAGGTTGCTCTCTGGCCAGCCAGGGATTGAACTTGTGCTGCACTGGCTGCAGAAGCTTCATAGTCTGTGTCTTAACCCCTTGCGCCACTAGGGAGGCCCGGTAGCTTCATTTTCAAATTAGTCCTGCTTATTTATTTATTCTTGTAAATACTGAGTCCAGACAAATAAGTTATAGGCTAAAGCTGTTTTTGGATAAGCTATGTCAAAAAACACTGTGTAACTTTAAAGTAGATGGCATAGGTTAAGGGGTAGGAAAAATAGAGATTGTGTTAAAAGCAAAATAATATTTTATTTATACTTAAGAATAGAACTTAAAGCTCACCTACATTCTGAATTCCTTCAAATTTATTGAGCATCTGTTATGTACTGAAGCAAGAATGGGACTCTGCAGACACTACTAATCCATTATTACCAGTCAAAGATCAGCTTAAAATCTTGTGTGAGTGGATGGATTAGTTTGGATATAGTGAGAGAAAGGTGTAAATTGTTTGAAAGTACTATAAAGAAGCTTCTAGTCCACAAATGAAAAGTAAACACCCACCCTAGCTCTATCCTCCATTCCTAAGAAATCAACCTGAGTATAAAATATTAAGCATTTAGTAAAATTAATGTTTCAAATTAGTAACAGTTTTTCCAATAAATATTAGGAAGATTATCATTTTTGAAAACCAGTGAGTATAAACATTTCCTTATATTTTCTGATAAAATAATTTTGAGTCAAAGACTTAAATGAAACAACTAAAATCATAAATAAGTATGTAAATGTAATCATTCATCTCATCCTTTAATAAATGAATATTGAGCATCTTCCCTCTTTGATGTAGAAAAATAAGAAAAATGTTGATAGGCATGAATATGTAACTGTAAAATTATATTTGAATCATATACTTCAAAAAAATTGGTACTTAAGAGATACTGTCAATAAAGTAGGAATATCAAGCATTATATTGGGGGAATAATACTACAATGAGACAATAAAAATGGGAAAAAAATAGTAGAAGAGAACTAAACTTTATTTCTACATGGTGAGTTTGCTGTACTCACTAGGGAAAATTCTAACAAAGGATCCAAACACATAAAAATGTAACGAGAATTAAGCAAAATTGCTGAATTCAAGATCAAATAACACTGAAATACATGTTACATAGTGTTTCTATACCTTCCAGTTACAGACAAGAAAATTTTTAAGGAAAACTTGCTCCATCATGGTAATAG